GGAATATTTCTCGTTTTTTGGACATATTATATTGCTATATTTTTCCTCAGCTACGAACACTGCAGACAAGCACACACACACACACACACACACACACGTATTACAGACTGAAAGACGGATCGAACAGCGGAAGAACAAAACCCAATGAAATGTGTGTGTGTTAAAGAGACGAGAACGTTTTACCCCCAGTACAACATGCCCCCCAGAACAGTCAACAAAGTGGCCACCATTCAAATAATGACAACACGGGGCCTTCACTGCTGCCGTGTACCTTCACATGTACACCATTTAGTTACCTGCCAATGCTCGTGGCTGTCCTCCTCCCCCCCACACACCCTCTCTCTCCTCCTCTACACCTCCCTCCCCACACCCTCCCTCTACACCCTCCCTCCCCTATACACCCTCCCTCACCAGCTGGGCAACCTTGGGGTAGACAATGGCCACCTGTGTGTGCACTGCACAGACCACCCACCCCCACCCCCACCTCCACTCCACCCCCCACACACCCACCCACACACCACACACCCACACCCACAATAAATAAAACCCATCTTAATCTCTAACGTTAATTAATTCATTACGATATCCTAATTACTTGTAAAAAAGATAATTAATTCACTCGTCATTAATGTTTTGTGATACATAATTATAGAGAGATCAATGACCAGAGTTAATATCAACCCTAATTTATACTTTGATTACATTGAGTTATTATAATACTATGTTAATAAGAGGAGACATACATACATACATACATACACATCGGGGAATTTCAGTTCTACGTGCGGTGTGTTTAAAAATGATTACACACACACACACTTTAGGTTAATCTGCTGTGTTTAGTGTAAGTTAAAACAAATAATGGAATATTTGGGTAAAAAATTAAGTGTGTTTTAAGCAGGACTATACAGTATGCAAATTAACTGGTGTTTACGAAAGAAAATTAAATAGTGTTTGATACTTAAGTTTGGCTGTGTTTAATTCAACTATGTTAATAATTAAACACAACATCAATTACAGTTTAGGAATATTGAGTTGTTTAGTTAAATTTAGTTATGCTAAAAGTTAAAATTGTTAATTAACTTCAGGAATATTTAGAGTAGTTTAGGGGTCATGTTAGGCACAACAGCTAACCTGACTTGACCTGCTGACCTCGAATCAATTAATAAACCCCCATGACCCATTATAGAGGTCATGTACAAAATGCCCGAGGTCCAGTTGATGCCAAGATAGGGTAATAAGGTCAAAGTGACGTCATATAAAGTTGGTATTTGGTCAACGTATCTCTAATCAGTGCCTCACAGTGCCACAGACAGACAGAGTGCCATGCCAGTGCCGAGTCGATTCTCAAAGGTTCTTGGAAGACATTTTCCTCGCAACGAAAACTTAAAGGTCGAAAGTAAATAATAAACTTTAACTCTACCTTAACTAGATACGTTCACTTAGCACCAGTTAAGAGACACAAACTTGGCGTAGTAGTTACAGAACCTTCGTGAATGCTGACCGAGCTCCTCCCTGTGTGTGTGTGTGTGTGTGTGTGTGTGTTAGGGTGTTACCCGGACCAGCTGGAAAATTTACGAGGGTGAAGGTGTTAGGGTGCGGTATGGTGAGGAGCAGCCATAGATTGTGAATCATCAGTTGGATATAGCTAGGGTGCGAGGCTGGGCAGTGGTGGCAGGGTGAAGAGCCAGGGGTTAAGAGTGTGTATAGCGTTCGAGAATGTGAGGGTGTGGTAGGGTATGTTAGGGTGAGAGCGTCGCCTCCCCTTGCGTGCTGTGAGATTTACGAGGGTGATAGATAGGGTGAAGGAAGACAACAGTGTGGAAATAGCGAGGGTGAATAACGTTAGGGTGGAATAGGGTGAAGGGTGGGTGAATGTAAACCAAATCAGGGTGTAGTAGAATGAGGGATAGATCTGTGTGTGTGTGTTAGGGTGGGATTAGGGGGGTGGGGTGGGAGGTGTCTGATGCATCCTGAGTTGTCAAAGGGTGCAACAAGGGTGTGGGGAGGGGATAAAGGGAGGGAAGGAGCTGTCAGGGTGTGTAAAAGCAAGGATATGGACGATTTGGTGTTTCAGGAAGAGATGTGGAGGGTGTGTTAGTGTGAACGAGGGCACAGTGGGGTGAGGATGACTTTAGAAAAACAGAGGTTGAAGGGGAAGAGGGTGGTAAGGGTGATCTTTTAGACGTTCAAGTGTAAGAAAGCTAGTTAAGGTGTCAAAAAGGGTGTGAGGGTGTGGAGAGACAGCAAGATGGGGTGGGGGTGTTACAGCGTTTCTGGAATAGGCGTGTAGGGTGTTTAGGATGAATTAGTGTGAGGGTGTAGTGTGAAGGTGAGGGTGTAGCGTGAGGGTGTAGAGTGAAGGTGTGGCTCAAGGGTCTAGTGTGAGGGTGTAGCTGTTGTGTGAAGGTGCAGCCATAAGGGTGTAGTGTGTTGGTGTAGCGTGAGGGTGTAGTGTGGGGGTGTAGTGTGGGGGTGTAGAGAGGTGGTGAGGACCTACCTGGAAGTCGTCTCCCTCGTCACCTTCATCTTGAGGCGTACGGCCGTCCAAGTGTCGAGCAGGTTCCTCCAGAGCGCCTCCACCTTGACGTATCCACCCCTCCCTGAACTGTCTCCTGTCCTGTCCAAGACTGTCTCCTGCCCGTCCACTGGGCCGGCAGGATTAAACTTCACGTCTCCTCTCTTTCTGCGAGGGTCTCTAGCCTAACCCCCACTGATGGAATGATCTGCGTGACGTCTCAAGTCCTGCCCAAGACGGTCTCCTACCCTTACACTAAAACCTGAAAAGATCTCCTTAGATGTATCCACTGTTTCCAAGATGGTCTCCTGCCCCTCCTTCCACCACACTTGGATGGATGATTCTCTGTGAGGACGGCTTCTTCCTGTCAGTCCTTCCAGAACACAGGAGAGCACCCCTCGGCCCCACCACCCATCAAACTTTGTGCTGCTAAACTTGGCTAATCGTCAACTGACACACTGCTGGTCACTGCTGTTGTTGACCTTCTCGGCGTCACCTAGAAACTGTCCCCGAATCATTGAGATCTTGGCTGCTCTTAGCTGTGGTACATTGCGTTAAGTCACCCCGCATACGTGTCCACGCTTTTCTTATTTCTCCAACCACTTTTGTTTTTTCTTCTTTTCAACACAGGAAGGAATGTATCGTGTTGCAGGAGTGAGTGAGTGTCGGGATGAAAAGGAAGAATGTTGTCTTGTTTGGTTTTTATCACTCACTCAGCTGTGCATCTCTGGTATGGTGAGGTACAGTACCCGAGTAGTGTTACCGACTGTCCTCTCCTCTGACGGGGCGCATCACTCGGGGGTTATGACTAGAGGTTGTTATCTGAGAGGGTGGAGGGGGTTGTGGTGGTGGTGTTGGGTCAGGCTATGTACACCAGCAGCCAGGCCAGGCCAGGCAGGCGAGACAAAACAGTGGAGGGCTTGAGGGTCCGGAGCCACAACACACACACACACACACACTGGCTCCTGCCACCGCGACCCCGCGCTCCCTGACTAGACTAAAGGCAACTGTCCGTCAGTCCTTACTGCCTCTGCTGCTGCTGCTGCTGCGGCGGCGGCGGCGGCGGTTCCTGCTACACCACACCACATAAACTGCCACTTCCTTCACTGACCATCACCACTACGATATATCCTCCACCGTGTATCGCCTCACATACAGGACAACTTACGACTAAACAGCTTCAACAGCCCTGATAAACAAACCCGGGGAACGTGTGGTGGTGTGTGGCATCTCTCGCACCAGAGGCGGGGCGGGGGAGGGGAGGAGGGGCGGGGGGGTGGTGTGATGGGAGGAAGGGTGGGGGTGGCGGCGGAGGGGCGAGACAGAGGAGGGTGGAGGCGGGGATTGGAGAGGGGGTGAAGGTCGCCGTCACCTCAATGAATGCACACACACACACACACACACACACACACTACTATACACGCACACGCACGCACGCACACATACATACATACATACATACACGCACACAATACTATACACACACACACACACACACTATGCACACACACATACATTATGCGCACACACACACATTATGCACACACGCACGCGCGCGCACGCACACACACACACACACACACACTTTAAAAACTCTCATACGTCCTCAAAATATAAATTGGCAACATTTTCACCATGAGCGTCAGGGATAAAATCAATACTGTAAACCCAGCAGAAAACGTCCATACACACACACGCACACAATTATACCGTCATGTCCAGTTTAATTTAAGATCAAATGGCATATGAACTAAATTCTCTGCATTTTATCTTTAGCATTATTGTTCTCACTACTACTGCTACTACTACGTCTGATTATAGGAAACATCACCACTACCATCACAAACAACCACCTGCCACACACTAAACAACACGAGTAGTAAACAACACAAACAATGAAAATTACGTCACTGTTTACTTAGAATCTCTCAGTTTTCGAGATCAAGATGCTGCCTCGAGGACAAGCCCACCTCGTCCTCGACTCCAACATCCCAGTGCCATTTTTTGCTGACCACCACAAAATAAACACACACACACACACAGCTGTTGAACGTATCCAAGGTCTTCTCTTCCAGGTATGAGAGAGAGAGAGAGAGAGAGAGAGAGAGAGAGAGAGAGAGAGAGAGAGAGAGAGAGAGAGAGAGATACTACTATGAACAAGGACCTAAGGTGCCCAGCCAGCGAGCTAGGCAGCCTCTACAGGACACCTCCAAGGCCACATTATACACTACTACCACCACCATCCTACTACCATCAGCCTACTACCACCACCAGCCTACTACCACCATCATCCTACTACCACCAGCCTACTACCATCAGCCTACTACCACCACCAGCCTACTACCACCACCATCCTACTACCACCAGCCTACTACCATCAGCCTACTACCACCACCAGCCTACTACCACCACCATCCTACTACCACCAGCCTACTACCATCAGCCTACTACCATCAGCCTACTACTAATTAATTAGCCTACTACCACCACCATCCTACTACCACCATCCTACTACCAACAGCCTACTACTACCACTCAGCCTACTACCAATTAATTATCCTACTACCACACCACCTCATCCTACTACCACCATCCTACTACCATCAGCTTACTACCACCACCAGCCTACTAATACCACCACTGTCCTACTACCACCAGCCTACTACCATCAGCGTACTATCACCACCAGCCTACTATCACCACCATCCTACTACCACCATCCTACTACCATCAGCCTACTACCACCACCAGCCTACTACTACCACCACCACCACCACCAGCCTACTAATACCACACCACCACCACTACCACCACACCTACTACCACCACTACCACCAACACCACCACTAATACCACTGCCACCACCACCCTACCACCACCACAACAGGAGGGAAGATAAACCAGTCCCTATCTCCACGTGACGTCAGGACCACGTGGCTGACACCCTAGACCAGTGGCTCTCAACCTTTTTCACTCCATTCCCCCTTGAGGAATTTTCAACATCCTCGTGGCCTCCTTCATTTTTCTCCCAGAACAGACAAACAGACAAGTGATAAAGACTAAAGAATGATAAAGAAGGACAAGAGTTAGAATGGCAAACACACACACACATTCACATGCATAACACGCCCATGCACTCACACATAAAGCACACATACAGTCATACACAAACATGCACACAGGTAAACATTCACACTCAAGCTAGCAAGCTGAAGTGTACTTCCTGTAAGCAAGAACACGCCTCCTTTGACAAGCACTGCCCAACTTGGAAGAATGAGAAGGATAGTGAGTCATACCAATTTAGCGCTAAAAATGGTGGGATTATATAAGTAAAGAATTAGTATGAACAACAATGGCACCAATAAATAAGGAAATAATTAATAAAGGAAGTGTACAAATATTTCACCCACGTAAAGCAGCGACCACATGAATTATGAAACAAAATAAGTAACACCAATTACGGAGTATATTATACTTGAGTCAAGCTCAAACACAATATATGGTTCAGAGACAATACACTCCACTGTTTTCGTGATGGTATCCCAGGCCAGACTGAGATAATTAGGTCCTATCACCAATTGCAAAGGGATGAAACACGACACGTATTGAACAAGTCAGTTCAGCAGCTCGGTCCAGCGCCTGTCACACAGACAGGGACTGGACCTGTGAAATCTGAAATAATTAATCCTTAAAAAAAAAAAATTAGCCCAAAAAGAGGTTAGGCTAGGTCAGTTCAAGGCAGGTTAAGTTAGGCTAGGTTAGGTCAAACTAGGTTAAGCCAAGGTTAGGTTAAGTTAAGTTAGATCAAGGTTAAGCTAGGTTAGATCAGGGTTTGGTTATATTAGATCAAGGTTAAGTTAGGTTAGACTAGGGTTAGATTAAGGTTAAGTTAGATTAAGGTTAGGCTAGATCAGGATTAGGTCAGGTCAGGTTAGGGACTATATACAGCACCATATACACCTGGATAAAAACTCCACTATATTACCTGTCATCTACCAGGTGTTGATTGGCGGGCCCGTCCCTCCCGCCCTCACCAATACTGGGTCTCTCATCACGGTATCCTGGAGGCCGACTCAGGACATACCAGGCCGATCCTACCACCACTCCGCATCCTACCACCACTCCTACACCTCGCACCACCATCACCTCCAACACCGACTGGAATATCACCATCACTATCGCCACCATCATCTCCAACACATTTTGCATGGCGTTAAGTTCTTGCCTGCGTGAGGATGGTGTGTTGGAGGAACCCCGGAGCAGTGGAGCATGTGTCTTTAAGGAGCACTGGAACACGTGTCTTTAAGGAGCACTGTAACACGTGTCTTTAAGGAGCACTGGAACACGTGTCTTTAAGGAGCACTGGAGCACGTGTCTTTAAGGAGCACTGGAACACGTGTCTTTAAGGAGCACTGGAACACGTGTCTTTAAGGAGCACTGGAGCACGTGTCTTTAAGGAGCACTGGAGCACGTGTCTTTAAGGAGCACTGGAACACGTGTCTTTAAGGAGCACTGGAACACGTGTCTTTAAGGAGCACTGGAACACGTGTCTTTAAGGAGCACTGGAACACGTGTCTTTAAGGAGCACTGGAGCACGTGTCTTTAAGGAGCACTGGAGCACGTGTCTTTAAGGAACACCAAATCACGTATCACGAGTCCAAACACAAGACACAGACAGACACACACTCACCTCCAAGACGAGTAACAACAGTGTGTCCTGACTGAGTAAGATCTTCAACCACCCCCTCAACCACAATCCACCCATGACTTGGTCATCTCTGACGCTTTCATTTTACTACCGGGTACATCGAGTTGTTTTGGTGTTAAACCTGGTCGTGGCAGGGAGGAGGGGGTGGGTTTCAAGGTTGTCAAGGAATGGTGGTAGGAATCGTGGTAGTGTAGTCGGTGGTAAGCATGTAGGTGGGAAAAGTTGCTGTTATGGGTAGTAGTGGTGGTGATTGTGGTAGTGATGTTCATGTTTGCTTATATGGGCAACAGGGTTGTTGTAGGCGTAGTATTAGTTGTGTGTGTGTGTGGGGGGCGGAGGGGGCGAAAAAACACGATATAATAATACCTACCTTAAGGAAAAAAGCAGACTTGTTTTTCCAGAATTCCTGAAATATTTTAGACACTGGTTTCACACACACACACACACACACACACACACACACACACACACACACACACACACACACACACACACTCTTCCTTACCTCACCAACAATGATGACGCCACTTACCTGTAAAGAGAAAAAAAAAATATAATATTAAATCATACATGCATGATATATGTTTTTAAGCATTTAAAGTAACATCCAAAAAGTGACTGGTAGATGATGGTGATGATGATAGTGGTAGTGGTGGTGATAGTGGTAGGGTGGTGATAGTGGGTAGTGGGTGGTAGTGGGGTGGTAGTGGGGTGGTGACAGTGGTAGGGTGGTGGTAGTGGGTGGTGGTAGTGGTGGTGATAGTAGTAGTAGGTTGAGGTGAACAGGACGTGTACACAGCACACTGAAGTCACGAGGAACAATAGTCATACTCCTCTCAACTTTCTCTCAAATACTACTGAGGGGGGAGGGGGGAAAGGAAGGAGGGGGAGGGGGGGAAAGGAAGGAGGAAGAGGAAGGTGAAATGGGAAGAGGAAGGAGATAGAGTGGAGGACGAATGTGTGAGAGAGAGAGAGAGAGAGAGAGAGAGAGAGAGAGAGAGAGAGAGAGAGAGATTCAGTTCAGTTCAGTTCGTTCTTAAGGGGTTAAGTAATTTTCCCCAACCATCATATTCCACAACAAAAATAAAAACAAAAACAACAATAACAACAAAAATAACAACAATAACAACAAAAATAATAACAATAATAAAAACAACAATAATAATAACAATATCAACAACAATAACAACAAAAATAATAACAATAATAAAAACAACATCAACAACTCAAACACTTTATTCACCTTAAAACAACCTTACCGAAACAATCTTTAAATATCAAGAAA